CAACCCAGCCTGGGTAACTTAGCAAGTTGGTGAGACTCTAAGCCAAGATTTAAAAAATAAAAAGGGCTGGGGGTGTAGTTTAGTGAAAGGCCCTGGATTCAATCCCCAGTAAGAACCCCCTCCCTGCTGCCCATAAGAACAGAAAGGGGAGGCTGGAGATTGACTCTAGGGAACCTGGGGACCCTCCTGCAGGAGGTGGTCAAGGTCAGCATCACTGGCAACATCCTGTGGGCGTGAGGTACCCCTGAGAGTGTGACAGAGACTGGCCCCTCACCCTGAAGCCCGCAACCTTGGTAAGTAGGATAGTGGACCCCAAAATGTCCACATCAAAATCTCAGGGGTGACCGGGAATGTGGCTCAGTGGCACAGCGCCTGCCTGGCAAGCACAAGGTTCTGAGTTTGATTGCCAGTACAAAAAAAAAAATCCCAGGGACCTATGAATGGGTCCTTACTGGGGACAGGGCCTTGGCACATGTGATTAATTGAAGGGTCTCAGGCTGAGGATTTAGCTCAGTGGTGCAGCGGCTGCCTGGCAAGCACAAGGCCCTAGTACCCCTCCCCCAAATGTGTCTCAAAATGAGGTCATCGTGGGGTCTCCAGTTGGAAGTGAAGTCCAGGGCCAGTGTCCTTAGGAGAGCAGAAGCGGCGGCACAGATTGAGTAGAAAAAGCAGGTGAAGACAAAGGCAGGGCCGGCGTGCTGTGGCTCCAAGCTGGGGACCCTGGAGTCCCAAGTGTCTGCAGAGGCAGGTGGGACCTCCCTTCCTGGAGGAGGGGCGCAGAGTCCCCGCCCAGACCTCGGTCTTGGGTAATGGGGTCCTAAAGCATCAGATAAATTCTTTTTTTCCCCTTCATCCTTTTTGTGGTGCTGGGACTAACCCACATGTTAGGCAGCCAATTGCTCCTGAGCTCCACCTCCGACCCTTATTTATTTATTTTAGTTTGAGACAGTGTCCCCCTGAGTTGCCCAGGGTAGCCTTGAACGTGTGGCCCTCCTGCCTCAGCTTCCTGAATAATTGGTATGACAGGCATGTGCCTCTGAGGCTAGCAGTTGTGTGGTTTTACACTGGGTGCACAGATTTCTGCCAGCGCGGTAGCAATGGCTTGTGCACCCAGTGTAAACGAGAGGAAGCAAACCTTTGCTAATCGGGTCGGGATGCCGTGCAGGATACCTGGCCAGGTCACGACACTGTTGGTGTCACTAAAGCCAGGGAATGTCTAGGGGTTCGTCACAGTCGAGGGGCACAAGGAGGTGTGGTAACTAAATGCCCTTGGATCTTGGGTGGGGCTCCAGGCAGCAGGTGTTTTAGAGGAACAGCCAGTGGCATCAAAGTAAAGTCTGGAGATTTGTTTGTCTGTTTTTTTGGTACCAGGAATCGAACTCAGGACCTTGTGCTTGCCAGGCAAGGCGCTTGTGCCACTGAGCTATATCATGGTTTTTTTTTTTTTTTGTTTTGTTTTTTTTGAGACAGGGTCTTGGTATGTAGCCCAGGCTGGCCTTGAACTCCCAGAGATCCTCCTGCCTCAGCTACCCGAGTGCTGGGATTATAGGCATGTGCCACCATGCCTAGCTGGAGTTTACTTAGAAGACTGGAAAAAAAGAATAAAAAAGATAAGAGGACTGGAGGTACAGCTCAGTGGTGAGCATTTGCCTAGTATGTGCAAAGGCCCTGGGTTCCATCCCCAGTGGGGGTGTGGAAAGAAGGGCCAGGGTGGCTTTGGATTTCTAGGAGTAGGGGTTTCTACCATTTGCCAAGGGCCCAGGCTCAGGCTGGTGACAGCTAGGAGCTCAGTGTGGGAAGAATTCGGTGCAGGGTGAACTGGACATAGCAGGGAAAAGCTGAGGTCAGGCTCAGCACCTGGGGCCACAGCTGTGAGGCCAGGTGAGGGGAGGGGAAGAAGCTGACGCTCTGCGCGCAGCAGGGTTGGAGCGCATCCTGTCCAGCCCAGTGCCCATCCCTGTCCGTGTTGTGGGCAAAGCCTTCCTCCCAGGCCTGGCAGGCAGGAGGCGCTCAGAAGCTGCGACTGGGCCCTGCTGGGATTCAGTGTCTCTGGGGCAGGAAGTGCGGAGCACCCTGAGGGCGCTGTGTGGGCGAACACGGTGGCCAACCCCATGGCACTGGTTCCTGAAGTACTCACTGTGTCACAGAACCGAGCGATGCAGCCTGCACAGCGGATTGTCCAGTTCCAGAGCCGCCTCTGCTTGCTGGACGGCCTCGTGGATTTCTGGGCCAGGAGCACCTTAGTGACGTGACTGTGACTTCATGACGTGTTTTGAGGACTAGCAAAGAAATTCTTGCCAGGTTTATTTTTTTTTTGCGGTCCTGGGGATGGAACCCAGGCGCTGCACACTGAGCTCCATCCCCAGCTCTTCTTAGTTTTTGTTGTAAGACAGGTCTTGGTAAGTCACTAAGTTCTAGGCTGGAACTTGCCATCCTCCTGCCTCAGCCTCCCAGAGCTGGGTGATGGTGTGTACCCCTGTGCCTGGCTGATGTGCAGCTCTTGTGGGCCTGCTCCTGCCTGTGCTGTTCTGAGGGTGTCCTGAGTGTGTTGAGAGGACTGGTTCTGTGTGGGATCTCTGGTCAGCTGGGTGCTTGTGTCACTCAGCTGGTCCTTGTCCTGGGTGATTGTCCCATCTGCCTGGTTACCGCCCACTCAGGGGTTGAAATGCCTTAGTTGCCGAGGCTGGGCTTAGACTTTTGGTCCTCCTACCTCAGCCTCCCAGAGTGCTGGCCCGCAGGGGTGTGCCACCATGCCCAGTGGCTGTGGGGTTTTCATGTAGACTGTGTGTCACGTAGGATGAAATCATGAAACATACCATGTGCCATTTGTGTACCACAAAATACTTTTGGTCTTTGACTCACTTTCCCAAGGTGCTTAGGTGGTTCTCTTCCCCGCCCGTTCATGGTAGCTTGTCCTTCTTTCTCTTATCATTTTTTAATTTTTTTTTTTTTTGGAGACAGGATCTTGCTATGTAATGCTTGCTGGCCTTGAACTCACTTATGTAGCCCAGGCTGGCTTCAAACTTGCAATGATCCTCCTGCCTCAGCCTTCTGAGTGCTGGGATTATGAGGCATTACAGGCATGCGTCACCACAGCCAGCTCTTGTTTTGTTTTTTGAGACAGGGTCTTGTTATGTAGCCCAAGCCAGCCTTGAGCTCACAGCTATCCTGTCTCAGCCTCCCGGGCGTTAAGATTATAGGTGTGCACCACCAAGCTTGGCAAAAAATACATAGCTTTTAAATTGTGGGGCTGGGGATATAGCTCAGTGACACAAGTGCTTACCTGGTAAGCACAAGGTCCTGAGGTTGATTCCTGGTACCAAAAAAAAAAAAAAAAATTGTGGTAAAATAGTGTGGTTTCTCTTCAGAGCATATAAATCTTTCATCTTTTAAATTATAGTAAAATAGGGGTTGGGGATTTAGCTCAGCGGCAAAGCGCTTGCCTGGCAAACGCAAAGTTGTGAGTTCGATTCCTGGTGCCGGAGGAAAAACAAACAAAAAAATTATAGTAAAATAGCATAATATTAGAGCTGGGTGTGGTGGTTCATGCCTGTCACCCAGCACTCGGGAGACTGAGGCAGGAGGCTCACCAGGAATTCAAGGCCAGCCTAGGCTACAAAGGGAGTTGAAAGCCAGCAGAATTATGTAGTGAGACCCTGTCTGAAAATATCAAAAAACAGCCTAACCCATAACTTTTACCATCTTAACCATTTCAGAGCACAGCTCAGTGGCATTGAGACATCCACACAGCACTTTCTCATCTTCCTACAAGTGTCCGTGCCCATGAGACACAATCCCGCCCCCGCCCCAGCCCCGGCCCCGAGAGCCCAGTTCCTGTCTGCAGAGTCGCCTGTCCTGGGCGTTTCCTGTCCGTGGAGCCTGTGTTGGGAGCCCTGTATCTTGTGTCTGTCACTGAGCACAGCACCCTCAAGGCCCACCGGCCGCGCTCCTGTCCCGGCCGAGTGCTGTCCCGGTGTGTGGCGGGGCCTGTGTTGTTGTGTTCATCTGTGGCACTGGACTGTCCGAGCCTTGGCCAGCGTGGGCCAGGCTGCTAGGAGTGATGTGTGTTGTCCCACGTGGACGTCCGTGGTCATTTGTTCTGGGGGCACGGGCGGCCGGGGAGGCGCTGGAGCCCCTAGGGCAGCAGCAGAGGTGATGGCGAGGGCGCGGATGCGAAGCCTCCGGGGGCATCTGGAGGGAGGCTTGCGGGGGCTGCAGCGGGCGGAGCCGCCTGGGCTGCCCCTGCCCGCCCCGTGCGGCCCGTGTCCTTGACCACCCTCCGGAGGCTGGTGGCACTGGGGCCACACCCACACATGGCCCAGTTGGCCGCCTCTGCTTTCCGCTTATGGCAGTTGCGTGGTCCTCAGAGGTGTCCCTGCAGGGGACCCACATGCTTTGCGAACAAGCAGGAAAAGGTGCTGCAGAGGCCTTGACTGCTGGCAGGCTCACGTCCCTGGGAAGCATGGGCCAGGAGTGGTCAGGACGCAGGTCCCTGCGGCTGGGAACACGGGATGATGGGGACAGAGAACTGCTCAGGGGTCCTGGTGTCGGAGAGCTGCAGGCTCTCTCACCTCAGCTTAGGTGGCCCAACTTTTGTGTTGGGTCTGTCCCGCCACAGCAGCCAGGCCTGGGGCAGGGAGGACGGGTGGGACGTGGGCACGGAGGGATGGGTAGACGTGGGGTCGCTGGGCTGCATGGCTGCTGGTGGGTCGGCACCGCCCGCACCCTGGCCGGGCTAGAGCCTGCTGTACCAGTGCACGCTGGCCTGGCATCTGGCTGGCTGGCTGAGGTCCCAGGTGGGGTCAGGGCTGGGGCCACCAGCCAGGCTGACAGGTGCCCTGTCTCCTGCCCCAGGTTCGTGCTGGCCGTGGGCAGTGCTGTCTTCGATGCCATGTTTAATGGTGGCATGGCCACCACCTCCACCGAGATCGAGCTGCCTGACGTGGAACCTGCCGCCTTCCTGGCACTGCTCAAGTGAGCTTCTGGGGCCTGATGGGGTGGGGACAGGGGAGGCCCGCGGCCCCGGGCCTGCTCCAGGGAGAGCTCCAGAGCACTCTGGGGAGTGGACTGGCTCCAGCCACTACCTTAAAACAATTCTAGTGTCTCACCAACCTGCCTTTTGTCTTTCTGAGATAGGGTCTCGCTACGCAGTTCAGGCTGGCCTTGAGCTCACTTTGTAGCCCAGGCTGGTCTCGAACTCGCAACGATCCTCCTGTTTCAGCCTCCTGAGTGCTGGGATTACAGGTGTGCACCACCACGCCTGGCTACCCCATTTTTTGAGGGGAGTACTGGGAATCAAACTCAGGATCTTGCACTTGCCAGGCAGGCGCTTATGCCACTGAGCTATATCCCCAGCCCCTACCCCATTTTTTGAGGCAGGGTTTCACTGTGTAGCCCAGAACTCACTGTGGCCTCAAACTCACAGTGATCCTCCTGCTACAGCCTCCCAGAGTGCTGGGGTGACAAAGATGCACCACTGTGCCTGGCTTGCTTTTTTCTTTTTTAATCCACTCCAGTTGTGATTGTGTTCAGTGTGCTGTGGGTGGGGCATGGTCATGCACACATAACCTGTGACTCAGTTCGACATTTAAGATCTTGACAGTTACACAGTTGCAGTGGGGCTTGACCTCTGGGGCACGGGAGGAGGTGACAGGGAGGAGCCACCCGGCCCCCACCCGTTGCCAGCTCCCCTGCACGGAGGCTGGAGCCTGCTGTGCAGCCACCTTGCTGAGTGCCTGGTCAGCTTGGCTTTGATGTCCTGGTGGCTGCATCCTGCGTTGTGTCCCCAGCTCGGATAGCACCCATAGCTGGTTCCTCAGGGACCCTTTCGGCCCATGTCATGGGGCAGCTGGATCCTGCCAACTTTGGAGGTGAGGAGCTGGCCGGGTGGTCTGATGTCCCCCTCACAGCCCCGCCGCCCTCAGGTTCCTGTACTCGGATGAGGTGCAGATTGGGCCTGAGACCGTCATGACCACACTCTACACTGCCAAGAAGTACGCGGTGCCCGCGCTCGAGGCCCACTGCGTAGAGTTCCTGAAGAAGAACCTGCGGGCCGACAACGCCTTCATGCTGCTCACGCAGGTGCCCGGGGACGCGGGGACAGGATGCATCCAGGCGGGGATCACGGTGGGCGGATGGCCGTGGGTCCTTCCCTGAGGTCAGATCGGGTCTTGTTCATTGAATACTTTTTTTCCTTGCAGCCCTGGGGATGGAACCCAGGGCCTTTCCATTGAGCTACATCCCAGCCCTTTTCATTTTTGATTTTGGGACAGGGTCTCACTGAGACGTGCAAGCTGGGCTCAAACTAGCCACCCTCCCTCAGCCTCCCGGGTGCGTGGCGCGGTGGCTGTGTCCCGTCGCAGGGACGCGGCGGGTTGGCTGGGAGGTGCGGGGTCATGGGACACGCAGGTTTGGGCTTGCGGGGTCCGAGGGGCTGGCGGAGCTGGCGCGGCTGTGCAGAATGGGAGATGGGACGGCGGGCAGGCAGCCAGCGGGAGCCTCGAGCTCTGGGCTGACACGGACAGCCAGGGTCACTGAGGGGTCGATGTCCAGGTGGCTTCTGCCCCAGGGGTGCGATAACTGGAGTGCAGCTGCAGGGGACCGGCTGTCTGGGTCTCGTGCTGGGGGGACCTTGGGTCAAAGCTCGGTGGCTCCATTTGAACTGGTTTCTGTTTTGTGTTTGAGACGCGGCCTCACCGTTGTCCGGCCTCGCGTAGAGCTCGTGCTCCTCCTGGCCCGGCTCCCCCGGCTCCCCGGTAGCTGGCCTGACGGCCTGTGCCACCATGGCTGGGAGTTCTTGTTTCTCTTTTTCCTTGAAATGGCGTCTTGCTGTTCCGCCTAGGTTGGCCCCAAGCCCCTGGGCTCCACTGACCTCTTGCCTCAGTCTGTTAGGCAGGTGGGACAGCAGGTGTGTGTTGCTGTGCCCGTGGTTGTTGTGGCGCGGGGCCCAGGGGGACCGGGAGCTGCTGTCCTGAGCCGGGGCCTTCCCTCACCAGGCGCGCCTGTTCGACGAGCCCCAGCTGGCCAGCCTGTGCCTGGAGAGCATCGACAAGAACACAGCTGACGCCATCACCGCCGAGGGCTTCACCGACATTGACCTCGGTGAGCCAGGCGCAGCCCTGAGTCGGCGGGGCGAAGGGCGGTGCTTTGGGCTTGGCGCTGGTCTGAGCGGCCCAGGCAGACTCAAGCGGGACCCAGGACCTCCTGCTCCACTTGGCAGCAGACTCTGCGGCTCCTGGGGAGGCTTTCCTGACCTGGTGTCACCATGGTCCCAGCTTGGGGACTGCCTAGTCCTAAAAGACGCTCAGCAGACTTTGGTTTGTGGTCTGTGTGCCTGGCTTTGTCGGGAAGTGTCTGCTGCTAAGATACTCTGCCTTGGCCCTTGGTGGGTAAACGCAGCTGCAGGCGATGGGACAGGGAACTGACGTAGTGGTACCAGTGAAACTTAATTGACACACATGAGCCAAGGGCCGCGGTCACTGGTTCCTAGGTGAGGCTGTGGGCACAGCCAGCTTATGGCCATTCCACCCTCAGACACACTGGTGGCCGTCCTGGAGCGGGACACCCTGGGCATCCGGGAGGTGCGGCTGTTCAACGCCGTTGTACGCTGGTCTGAAGCTGAGTGTCAGCGGCAGCAGCTGCAGGTGACACCGGAGAACAAGCGGAAGGTGCTGGGCAAGGCCCTGGGGCTCATCCGCTTCCCACTGATGACCATCGAGGAGTTTGCTGCAGGTAATGGGTGAGCCCTCCCTTGGCGAGAGGCCTAGAGTTTCAGTGACAGTCCTTGAGTTCATTGTGGCAGATGTGAAACTGCATAAAGTTAGTAAAGTTATGCACTTATGCATAACATAAGTGCATAAAGCCACATGTGGTGGCACAGGCCTGTCATCCCAGCACTCTGTGAGGCTGAGGCAGGAGGATCACAAGTGTGGGGCCAGCCCGCACAACTTGGCAACTTAACCAGACTTTGTCTCAAGGTTAAAACATAAAAAGGGCCAGGTTGACTGGGATGACAGGCCTGTGCCACCATGCCCAGCCGGGGAAGGAATGATTTTTTTTTTTTTTTTTGTATTTTTTGAGACAGGGTTTCATTATGCAGTTCAAGCTGGCCTTGAAGTCACTTTATAGCCCAGACTGGTCTTGAACTCACAGCAGTCCTCCTGTCTCAGCCTCCCAAGAGCTGGGATTACAGGCATGTGCCACCACACCCAGCTAGGAGTGATTCTTTTGAAGCATGAGGGAAGCACCTGTGCGCTGTGTCCAGCCGGACATGGTGGGCTCTTCCTCTGTCGTGGCCTTTCCTGGCGGTGGCTTCTGGGGGGCAGGGTGCATGAGGCTCCTACCCACCTCCTGCAGCCCCTTGGCCAGCCTGTGGCTTGCGGTGGCAGTGCCCCACCCTTGTCCCATTTGGCTTCAGCCTCTCCCTGTCTCTCTGTGGTGCTCTGTGGGGAAGGCTGGTCAGGGCCCGCTCTCCGGGGTTCTTCTAGAAGCCAGAGCTGTGACCAAGGGCATGCTGGCCTCAGAAGCAGCTGGGAGCGACACCTCTGGGCACGACCCAGTGTGTGGACAGACAGGGCTCAGCCTCCACGTAGCATGAACTAGACGGTCCTGGAGCTGGTGCTTTTTTTTTTTTTTTTTGGGAGACTGGGTCTTGCTATATAGTCCAGGCTGGTCTTGAACTCATTGTATAGCCCAGGCTGGCCTCGAACTCACAGCAATCTTCTTGCCTCAGCCTCCAAGTGCTAGGATGACAGGCGTGTGGCACCACACCAGGCCTTTGGAGTGGGTGCTTTGACCCAGGGCTAGCACAGCTGGGGAACAGGGTCTGCTCTTGAGATTTTCCTTGTGAGCAAGTGAATCTGTTGCCCTCAACTGCTGAGACCCTGCACCAAATGCGAGGGCAGAACCCCCACTCCATGGCAGGAAGCACCTGATCCCAGGTCCCAGGAGCTGAGTCACACGTGGCACCCGGAGTACAGGGAGGGGAGCATCCCGCTGAGCCCTCCCATCCCCACTGCAGGCCCCGCGCAGTCCGGCATCCTGGTGGACCGGGAGGTGGTCAGCCTCTTCCTGCACTTCACGGTCAACCCCAAGCCACGCGTGGAGTTCATCGACCGCCCACGCTGCTGTCTTCGCGGCAAGGAGTGCAGCATCAACCGCTTCCAGCAGGTGGAGAGCCGCTGGGGCTACAGCGGGACCAGTGACCGCATCAGGTGTGCCTGTCCAGCCGCTCGCCTGGGGACAGCATGCCCTCTCCGCCCTGTTTGGCCTTTTCTGTTTGTCCAGTGTCCGGCTGTTTGCTCTGTTGACGCCGTGGCCTGTTGCCTTCTGCAGGTTCTCAGTCAACAAGCGCATCTTCGTGGTGGGCTTCGGGCTCTATGGCTCCATCCACGGGCCCACAGACTACCAAGTGAACATCCAGGTGAGCCCGTCTACTCCCCGTGGCTCTGCCCTGAGCACCCCGGGACCCATCGGCCCAGCCCACACCAGACCCTCCTCACCCGCCGCCACTCCCAGGCCAGCTGCCTCCACTGTCAGGCCCTGGCCGGTCCCCGCCCCAGGGGCGGAACCTTGGCAGGCATTGTGCTCCTCCTCCTGTCCCCAGATCATCCACACGGACAGCAACACAGTCCTGGGCCAGAACGACACGGGCTTCAGCTGTGACGGCTCGGCCAGCACCTTCCGGGTCATGTTCAAGGAGCCGGTGGAGGTGCTGCCCAACGTGAACTACACAGCCTGCGCCACGCTCAAGGTCTGAGCCGGCGGCATGGACCCTCCCCTGCCGGGACTCCGGGGCGCGGACTGGGGGCGACGCCCGGCCTTACTGTCTCACCTCCCACAGGGCCCGGACTCCCACTACGGCACCAAAGGCCTGCGCAAGGTGACCCACGAGTCACCCACGACGGGGGCCAAGACCTGCTTCACCTTCTGCTACGCGGCGGGGAACAACAACGGCACGTCAGTGGAGGACGGGCAGATCCCAGAGGTCATCTTCTACACCTAGGCCAAGCGCCCCAGGCATTCTCCACGCGTCCACTCCCTGCCACCGTTCTGAGCATCCAGAAAGGGTGTCCCTGTGTCCATGGTGACAGCGTGGCTGGTGTCCACAGCCCCGGTGGCCATGAGACAATCCCTCAAACACCGTGGGCTGGGCAGGGCAGTGCCTTCACCATGGGGCCCACGCTGGGCCAAGGGAGGCAGGCCCGTGGGGGTGGCTGTCCCCACTGTCCCTGCAGCTCAGGGCTGGCGGCCACTCACCCAGGCGGATCGAGCGGTGTCGTCTCCCGTCTGTCAAGTGCACATGCAATGCCTCAGGCCCCTTTCTGAGCTTAAAAGCCCGGGTGAGGGGTCCCACGGGTGCTGATTGGGGTCTTTCATTCCTGTCTGCTCACTGGGGACACCGGGGCTTGGCCAGCCATGTACCTGAGGCCTGGCCTGCAGGGCGTCCCCCTCTCCAAGACACTGGAGACATGGCGGTGGGACTCTGGTGGGGCTCGGGCCCCAGTGCTGTCCACAAGGGGCCAGCCCCTGTCCAGGTAACAGGTGGTTTGCTGTTTCCGTTCTGGCCCCACCCGTGGGCCAGCGAGGCTGTCAGTGTCCTCTGGACAGTCGCCTTGCACCAGCCCCTGTGGCCAAGCTGGGCCCCAACCCCGTGTGCCTCGAGGGAGAAAACGAGGCCGCCCCCTGAGGCGGGGCGGGACCCCAGCTGGCCTGGTGCGAGTTCCAGAGGCGCTGCCCGCCCCCTGTACATAATGTAGCCCCAGCTTGCCACCCCAAGCACCCACGTGACTGCCCCAGTGACTCCCCTGGAACCTGCGTCCTCCCTGAAGCCATGGAAGGTGTGGCCTCACACCCATCATTTTTTAAAATAAAGGAAAGAAACGCACTGGCCCCGAGCTGCTGCATTTGGGCCCCACCTGGCACCGCCGAGCCCAGGTGGTGACAAACCGCGCAGAGGCCGGAAAGTGGCACGAGGCCAAGTCTGCAAGGTGCCAGTTTCTCAGGAGGACAGCGCAGTGAGGGTGACACCCTGGGGTAGGTAGGGACGAAGCCAGGGGGCAGTGTCCTGAGAGGCTTGGAGGTCTGAGGGGAGCTGCACGTGCCCAACTCCTGCCGGCAACAGCGAGTGACTGGGCGCTGGCGTCAGCACCAGCCTGCAGGGCACTATTCAGAGTCCCCTGGTGAGAAAGGGCTGGACAAAAGCATGGAGCTGGGTGCCATGGTGAACACCTGGTACTCCAGCTGCTTAGGAGGCTGAGGCAGGAGAACAGCAATTCTAAAGCCAGCCAGGGCAACTTAGTGAGACCCTGTCTTAAAACAACTCACTGTGGGTGCTTGCATATCATGTGTAAGGCCCTGGGTTCTATCCTGATCACTGCAAAAATTAAAAAACCTGAAGCCCATTTAAGAAATTGGAGTTAGCAGAGGACTTACACATTTAGGACAGCAGAAGTCCTGAGTGGCAGTGCATGCCCATCATCCCAGCACTCTGGGACACTGAGGCAAGAGTGCAAGTTCATGTGCAGCCTGGGCGATGCAGCAAGACCTGGTTTCAAAAAGGTTTGGGTATGTAGTTCAGTGTACAGGTTTAATCCCCCAGTATTGAAGGAGAAAATAGAGCTGTGCAGACAAACCTAGAGGTCTGGCTCGGCGTAATGGCGCACGCCTGTAATCTCAGCATTTGGGAGGCTGAGGCAGGAGGATCATTGCGAGTTTGAGACCAGCCTGGGCTACAAAGTGAGCTCAAGGCCAGCCTGAACTGCATAGCGAGACCCTGTCTCAAAAAGACAAAAAAAAAAAATTAAAAAATTATTTTTAAAACTATAGGATAAATTCAGTAATGGGAAATTGTGGGCTTGTACAATGTAGAAATAAAATAACACCAAAAAAGGGAAAAATGAAAATAGTATTTGTATGTACACCAGTGTGTACACACACACACACGCCTGAATTTTGCACATGTATGTACTGAAGCCAGTTCAAGCAAACATGCTGGCTCCAATGCAACACAGTAGGGCTCAAAATTAGCCCTCCTTCCCACCCATCCCTGTAGCCTTAACTGTGGAAAGGGTCCCACTACGCCCGCCCTTCCATGCACAGGTGGTGTGCAAAAGACCTCAACTCTGTGCCGTGTCCAGCATACTCCCAATGGCTCACCCATCTTTTTTTTCAAGACAGGGTCAACGCTGCCCTTGAACCTGTGTCAATTCTCTTGCCTCAGCCTCCTGAGTGCAGGGATTACAGGCGTATACCACTGTGCCCAGCTGGCTCACCCATCTTCTGCCCTGCTTATACTTCATCATGGCACTGGTTCTCCACCCTCGGCCTCAGGTCTTAGAGCTCCAACCCAAGAGTTCCTCCCCAGGTCCCATGGCCTAAGTTGCCCAGGCTGGGCTGGAAGCAGCAATTCTGTCTCTCTAGGCAACAGGAGTGCTCTAGTGCATACAGTGTCCTGTCTGCCCTCCCGCTGTTGCCAGGAGGGAAGCAGCAGCAGCAGGGCAGGCTTCGGGGGTTGCTTTGCTCCAGTGGCTCAGGGTCCCACCCATGTTTTCCCAACTGCTGCTGCTTTCCCTCCCTGCTTCCCAGTCCCATGGAGAGGCTCCTCTTCTCTGCTCTGGTCACGGGGTGAGCTGTGCGAGCAGCTGGGCCAGACGCTCCTTCACCGCACCTCCTCGTTCTCCCCTTCGCAAGCCTTCAAGTCCACTTCCCTTTCGTGCTCGCTGCCCCACCCACCGCAGAACACGGCTCCGGTGCTTGCTACCTCCCATCTTTCTGTCCCCGAACGCCCTGCTGGGGGGCTCCCATTCCCTCAGGTCCCTGACAGGTCTGGGCCGCCGCCCTTGGAAAAAACCAGATGCCACCACTGAAGAGTGATTTTTTTTTTATTTTCTTAAAAAAGCCCCTAAATTCTATGGCTTCAAGGAAGCGTCAGAGAAACGTAAATGCCATTTCTGTACACTTTGTAAAGCAAGAACTACGCCTGAATGACCACCACCCTGGAGGGGGGGCGCCTCGCCCACCCGGCAGCTTCCCGGACCCGCAGGGGTCGCCACCTGCTCTGCGGTCACCCCGCCAGTGACACCTGCGGGGCGCAGGGCTTTAAGGCGATTCGTCTCCTGCGGCTGTGCGGTGCGGAGACCTGAGGCCCCAGCCTCAAAGGCCCAGACGGCCCAGGGCTGACGCCCACCCCAGGGGCTGGGGTGTCTCCGGCGCAGGGCTGCGCTCGGGCCGAGCTTTGGTGCAGCATTTTGGTTGGGAGGCTGGCTCCAGCCGGGCTGCGCCGCCCCCGCTTTCCCCTTTGGTCTGGGGTTGGACCAGAGCCGGCCTCACCCCCCAGCGGCGCCAGAGCCCCTCCTGGACAGCCAGCTCAGCAGACGCCCCTCCCGGGCTGGGCCTGCCCCCCTCGAGGAAACGGCCTTTGGATCAAGGGAGACAAGCTGGACTGTACGAGGCGAACGGGCGGCGGCACCAGCCCAGTCTCACTACTCACTCGGCCGACGGGAGGGCAGCGGCCTCTGCCTTTCCTTTGTTCCTTGTTAAATAGTTAATGCTCTCGGGGGGAGGACTAGACACAGGTGTAGAAATTTCGGCCAAAGTCTTACGTGAAGGGAGGGACCCACATCTGGCCAGACGGCCCTGCAGTCTGACTCGGGCTGTGGCGTGTCGCCGGCCGGCCTGTGGGTGGCCCGTGGCCTCAGGGACAAGCTGGCCCTTGGGCAGCATTGAGGACAGTCACGCGCCAAGAGTGCCCGGGTCACTTGTGCCGCTGCAGCGATTTTCTCTTCCTCCTCTTGAAGAAACAGCAGCACCTGTGGAGGGGCCCGGGTGGGTGCGGGGCACAGGCCACGCTGACCCCCGCCCAGACCGACCGACCCCGTGTCCCCACAGCCCTGCCCAAGCCCTTACTTGGTGTCATCAGCCACCTCCACCTCTGCCGGGGCCGTGATGGGGGCGTTGGAATGCCCCGCGGTGGGGTCGTCCGCGTTCAGCTCTCCGTTGGTGGAGTTCAGCGCCTGCACCAGCAGCGCAGAAGGGTCAGGGGCGGCGGGCCTGCCGCCCTGCAGCCTGGGCGTGGGGTCCCACCCCGCCTCACCTGGTTCTTGCTGTGGGGCTGGACTTTGTCCCGGTGTGGGGGCTGGGAGGGCAGGTCGGAGTGCACGGTGCCAATCGGCGTGGGCTGTGGAGCCGGCGGTGTCAGCGTGGCTGGTTCCGGACCTTCCCGGAGCCCCGCACAGCGCCCCCCCCCCGGCCCCACCTCCTGCCCAGGTCCACGGCCTCCCGCTGGCAGAACCCACGGCCTCCCGCTGGCAGAAACCACCCCCAGGCCCGCATACCAGGGGTTTTCCGGCCCAGTCATACTCATAGTCGAACACGAAACCGCTCCGGTCGAAGAGGTCCGTGAAGAGCTTCCGAAGGTAGTCGTAGTCCGGCTTCTCGAAGAAGTCCAGGCGCCGCACATAGCGCAGGTAGGTGGCCATCTCCTCTGCGGAACAGGACGGACCGGAGGAGCGGGGGGAGGGTCACGGGGGGGGGGCGGGCACCACAGGGTAGGCTGCGCCGCGGGCAGGGGTCACACCTGGGAAGCTCTCGCACAGCACCTCGATGGGCGTGGCACGCTTGGTGTCCCCAATCTTCTGGTACCGCTCCTTGAGCGTGTCGGCCTGCAGGAACAGGGCACAGTAAGAGGTGAGCGGTGTCCTCTTGACCCCCGTCCCCTGTGCCCCCCCCCGTCCCCACCCACCTTGAGTCCCTGCCAGGGTAGGCTGCCACGCAGGAAGTACATGAACATGTGGCCCAGGGCCTCCAGGTCGTCGCGGCGGCTCTGCTCTGCGGGGACGGCAGCAGGGACAGTGGCTCAGCACGGCCCGTGACGCGCAGCCCCCGCCCCCTGCCCGCGCAGCTCACCCTTGCCCAGGTGCGTGTTGATGCTCATGTAGCGCGCCGTGCCCGTGAGGCTCTTGTGCTCCCGGTACGGGATGTGCTTCTTGGTCTCCGGGTCGATGTACTCCTTGGCCAGCCCGAAGTCGATGATGTGGATGGCGTGCTGCCGCTTGGTGCCCGGGCGCCCCACCAGGAAGTTCTCAGGCTTCACATCACGGTAGATGAGGCTCTTGGTGTGCACATACTCCATGCGCGTGATCTGGGGAGCGGCCGGCGCCTCAGCAGGACAGAGCACCCCAGGATCCCGCTCCTTCCAGCCCCTTGAAAGGCCCCGCCCCCGCAGGCCCCGCCCCTCCCGGCACCCCGCGCACCAGCTGGATGGCGATCATGAGCACCGTCTTCAGCGTGAAGGTGCGGTCGCACAGGTCGAACAGGTCCTCTAGGCTGGGCCCCAGCAGCTCCAGCACCATGGCGTTGTACTTCCCGCAAGGGCCGAAGTAGTAGACCTGAGGGACGCCCTCTGCGGGCGGGGTCAGAGCCGCTAGCTGTGCCCCACCCCCTCCCCTGGAAAACTTGCCCGCCCCGCCCCCACCGCGGCCAGGCCGGCGCCTCCCGTACCTGCGGCGCTGAGCTGCTTGTAGTAGCGGTACTCCAGGTGCAGCTGCGGGGCCCGGGACTTGATGGGCTCCTGCGGACAGGCGCACGCCTCGCTTACCCAGGCCCTCCGTGCCCGCCCCGGGACCCCGCGGGAGGGTGGAGGGAGGCCCCACTCACCAGTTTGATAGCCACATACTCGTTTGTATAGAGGTTCTTTCCTGTGGAGACAGAAAGACCATCAGGACTACAGGGGCCCTGCCACCCCGTTCATCGCACCTCCCCAGTCACACGGTGGGCAGAGCGCAGATCCCTGCCGGTGCCCCGGGAACACCACCCACCTCTTAGGAGATGGCAGCCCGCCCTCCCCACACGTGTACCCCAAAAGCCACTTCTACACAGCAGCTCCCACCCAAGCTCCCAGCTTGTGCCGCACCACCGGGCAGGCGGCTGCACCTCTCCCCGCCTCGGGGCCCTGCCCCCCACTCCGTGACCTGGCGAGTGCTGTCTCACCTGCAGGGCTGCACCAGATGTCCATGGGACCACTCACGCTTCCGGGCCCCAGTGGGGTGGGTGGGTGTGACCTGCCTCAGTGGCCCAGAGCCCCCGGGGATCGGCCAGCTCTACACAAGGTGAGGGACCCGGCCTGGCTCCTCAAGCACGCTCACGCTTGTTCACCGTGCGCACGGCGCACACACAGTCCCCGTCGCCTCTAGCCGTCCACCCAGGCAGGCCCACTCTGGTCTCCCCTCCCCAGGGACCGTGTCCTGCCTGCCTGCCCCATGCGTCTCCTACTGCGTGTTTGTGGGCACTGCCCAGCACCCATGCTCCGGGAGCCGTGTCCTCTGAGGACAGCAGCCGTGGCCACCTGCCCACGCAAGACCAAACCCTGCTGGCTAAGACCACAAAGTCACGGCCTCCTTCAGCCCAGGTGCGCCCACGCTGCCTCGCTGCAGCTCTCCCTGGCCTTGCTGAGTTCAGCCCTGCAGGACAAAGCGTCCGCCCACGGCTGCCCATGGGCTTGTCAGGTCCTCCATGGCCGGCAGGAGGACCCGAGAAAGTGACAGTGCGCGACGCTGGAGTGTGTGCCGGCCAGACAAGCGTGCAGGACGAGCGCCCAACCTGCGCGCAGCCACCTTGCCCGCCTCCCTCCCGGGGGCCTTTTCTCAACTATGTCAGCGATTGAGTGCAAGGGCTGCCCAGTCCTCGTCTTCCCTGGGCAGGTGCAGGTCTGTGAGCCTGGGCGCTGCTGTCTGGGCAGCCGCTCCCCACACCCGCCAGGGCTCGCTCCCCTCAGGTGGCTCCAGGGCTGAAGTCGGGTCCTGGGTCCTGTGTGCGCCGTTTCACAGGTGATCTGACTGTCCCACCCACGGACCAGCACCTGGGCTCTTCCTAGCGCGGGACTCTGGGAACCAAGCAGTGAACCCTCTTGGGGTTGCTGGGGGGCCACATGTGGGGGACGACGTAGCAGGGGGCATCGCCCTCCCTCCAGCCAGGCCCCTGTCCCCTGGGATGAGTCTGCTCGTGTCCTGCCCCCTTGTTATCTGGCAGTTTGCTTTCCAGGGCGGAGTATCCGGAAGCCAGGACTTCTCTAATCTGATGCCCTCAGGTGCTGCTGTGGCCGCCCTGTGCCCTGCAGTGCCACCCCCCTGGGGGCTGTCTCCTCCAGGGGCTTTCTCTGTGCCCTGCATTCCCAGTCCTGGGGCGCTCTGCGGTCGAGCGCTCAGCGATGCCTTGGGGCTGTGTGGCTGCGTGCAGGGGTCTGAGCTCTCCCTGGATGCAGGACCTGGGAGGGGGAGCTCATGCTCCGGCTCTGGGGCCACAGAGGTCCCCTGCGGTGGTCCTAGGTGTCACACCCTTGGCAGGACACTGCAGGGCTGGACAGAGAAGTGCCCAGGGGATGTAGGCCACAGCAAGACTCGGGCCACACAGGCTGGAGGACTGAGGCCCAGCTCTCACAGCAGGGACACCCCCCAAACTCTCGAGACCCAGCAGAGATCCCAGAGTCCCTGGTTCACGAAGGGCCGCCCAACCCTGCAGCGACAACGCTGAACAACGGCCTGCATCAGCACCCAACATGACCCTCAACTCCGAAAGGATAGAATCCACTCCAGACGGAACACACAGCACCCTCCAGCCCGGCGTACAGGGAATCCTTCCCAGACCCAAGGGGAAGGACGGACACACAACTGGTGGCAAGCAGAGCAGGATATGGGCACAGGGGGTCTGACCCTGGCACTTAAACCCTAATTTTTTTGGTGGTCTGGGGATGGAACCCAGAGCCTCTGCATGTGCTAGGTAAACGCTCACCACTGGATTATACTTCCAGCCCTAGGAAACTGGCATTTAAAACTGCTGTGGCTTGGTGGTATTCCCAGGCCTCAAGGCAGGTATCACCTTCAGGGCAGAATCAATGCCGTCATCAGAGGGAGGGCCTGCTCCCTCTCATCCTCCCTTGCCACCTGTCATGAATGTCACATCAGAGGCTCCCAGAGCCGCCAGCTAGGGAACTGGGGATGGAAGCCAGGGCGTCCCCTGAGCTAAGCGCGCCCTCACCACCGACGCCCCCTCTGCACCCCCACAGCCTGGCGAGCACAGGGACAGCCCGATCTGCCGCCTGTGGAGCTCTGAGGCTGTGGCTGTGAACAGTGACTCGGGGACCTGCCCTGTCACCCAGGGACATCCGGGAAGTTCCACTGCTAAGAGCCCACACTGGGAACCCCAGAGACCCCTCAGGGGAACTGGGATGGGGTGCATCCCACCATTTCCCAGCGACGCCCAGTGCTGGTGACAGGGACGCGCGACATGGGCCCACTGCTCTCAGACAAGGCCGGGCCAGCGACCAGGCCGAGCCGCACACGGCACGGTCGGAGCAGTGTACGAAGCAGAACCCACCACAGCCACAAAGCCGCCCTGCGCGCCTGCTCGGGTGGCACCTGTGCGGCCTCACCGCTGCCCCAGACAGGACCCTTGGTGCCCCGGGGTCCCCCAAGAGGCACGAGCCCTTCGGACTGCTGGCCAGAAGAGGGTGTGAGCATGTCTGTGCCTGCATGTGCGTGTGGGGCTGTGTGAGCACGAGTGTGTACATACTTACACTTCTGTGCGCACACACACGTTGCAGGTGAGGAGACCGTGCGGCTGAGGAGAACACGCAGGCGACACCCGTCAGGCCACCACGTGCCTGCTGCGGGTAGGGGACAAGGGGCTGCCAAGCTCCAGAAGCAGATGTCTACTCTACACCGGTCAAAGGCCCGTCCTCATACTGCCCCTCAAGAGGGGAGCTGTCACACACCCCATTAACAAGAGGAAACGGGGGAGGGGTCTCGGATCCACATGCAGCTTGAGCACGCGTGGGGCAGGGAACTAAATTTAGGGGCCATGCAGCCAGCCACATCCATGTCCTGGGCCTCAGCTTCCCTCATCTGACAACCTGAGGGGGGAATGGAGGACTGACGCTGGCACCCCGGGGCATGGGGTGTATGTGAAGCTTCTTGCTTCCACCAACTCCATGGCAGGCACTGGTGTGGAGCCCAGCTTGTCACCTTGGTCCCTGACAAGCCCTGGCGATGAAGGTCAGCTGCCTTGTGCCTCCAGCCACACAGCTTCCCCAGGGCTGCAGGAGTCTGCAGTGAGCCCTGGGACTTCAGCTGCACCAGGGAGAGTCACCCGTGTTCTAGGGACATGAGGCCTCCCAGGTAGTCACAGATCAGACCCAGACCCAATGTACAGAGAAAAAGAGGACTCCACAACTAGGTGCTGACCGCCCGGACCCTGGCCTGCAAGCAGCTCGGTCCTGGGCTAGCAGCACCCCAAGCTTCCCTGGCCGCCCTGGGAGCCCCGAGCGTGCCAAGTGATGAGTTCCTTTGCAGAAGGACGGCTGCTCCGTGCATCCTCTAACTGCTGAGCCCCTCTCTGATGACAGTTATCCCCGAGAAGAGGGGACCCAGCTCCCCCTCCCTCAGGACCTCTTTGCAGCTGAGTGCAGTAGCGCACACCTGTCACTCCAGGAGGCTGAGGTAGGTGGATCATAAGTTCCAGCCCAGCCTGGGCAACTTAGCCAGACCCTGACTCAAAAAAAGGGCTGCTTCTGAGCTCAGTGTGAAGGCCCTGGGTTCCATCCCCCATGACAAAACAAACAAACACCCTCTTCAGACAGGAGAAGGTCCAGCTGGCCTTGCTGACCCCTAACAATCCAAGGGGCGCCCACCACCAACAGCTCAGCAGACTGGGAACCCACCTCCCCACGGGCAGCCCCCGGGGGCCTCCCAGCACCCTCCAGCCCAAGCTGGGGCTCACCGAGGCGGAGCTCCCCGAAGTTGCCGCAGCCTATCTTCTTGCCAACTCGGAAGTTGGGGCCCACCATCAGGACCCCTGAGCTGGTCCCCGAGCTCCGAACGCTGTGGCCACCGCGGCCCCCGCCAGCCTTGGACATCCTCCGGCCCTCCTCCAGCTCCCCTTTCCCTCCTTTCTTGTCAAAATCCATCAGTTTGTGATACCCCGGCCTCTCCACGGTGGCACCTGCAGGTCCCAAGTCTGTGAAGCTGGGTTTGCGGCTGCCTAGCACACCATCATGGCCCTGCGGCCCTGCGGCCCCGCGCCTCCAGCTAGTGCGTTGAGTGCGCCTGCGTGGGCCTGGTGGCGGTGTGCCTCTTGGTGGCCTGAGGGTCGCTCGCTGGGAGAGGAGACATTCTGCTGACGGGTTCCACTGCCTCAAATCTCAGGGCACCCAGCTGTGGAGAGACAGACACAAGTCAAGACGCTGTAAGTCCCAGGGGGTCAGACTGCAGGTCCCCCGCAAGGCAGGTGGATGTTCTGGAAAGATCTCAAAGCCTAAGCACAGCAGGCAATGCCCCGCCCCAGAGCCCTCTGCAAGCACTGCCCGCTCGCACTGACACTGACTGGCGGGACAGATCGGAGGTCATGGCCAAGGCTGGGTACATGCTCAGTGGAAGTACGGGGTACTTTCTGGGGAAGGTGGCTTGGGCTGGATGGTCCCCCTGTGTGCAGAGCCCCCACAGAGCCAGAGAAGCATGTTGCCTAGAGGGTCGGGACCCCACTACATGGGACAGGCTTGGATGTCTGAGACCAGAAGGGAGACCGCAAAGCCAGCACAGAAAGCCTGCCGACCTGTGTCCACGCTGGCACTGAGCCGAGCGCGAGGGGACAAGAGAGTGGCCGGTGCCCGGGACAGCAGTCTCCCTGCTGACCCAAACCGAGTGTAGAGGGAAGGCTGGGAGGTTCAGGTGCCTACAAGGCACTGACCCAGGTTCCAGCATCACTCTCCAGCGGCCACAGGAGGAAGTGGCCAGTGTGTGAGTGGCACATGGGAAGCCTGGCCTGAGCCCTGTAGCTGGGAAGGTGGGGCTCAGGGAGCAGGAGTGGGGCACAGTACCTGAGTAAGGCCCCAACGAGGCGGCGTCCTGAGAGCAAACTCCCAGTGCGGGTTCCCTGACAGCTGTGCCCCCACAGTGGGCTCCCCCCAGACCTGCTCTGTACCCTCGCCTTAAAACATAAATAGCCCAGCTGGGTACAATGCCACATGCCTCTCATCCCTGCATGCTAGGAGGCTGAAGCAGGAGTATCACAAGTTCGGGCCTAGCCTGAGTAACTTAATGAGAGACCCTGTCTCTTTTTTTGCCTTTTTGAGACAGGATCTCCCTCTGCAGTTCAGGCTTGGCCTTGAACTCACTCTGTAGCCCAAGCTGGTCTTGAATTCACAACGATCCTCCTGCCTCAGCCTCCCGAGTGCTGGGATTACAGGCGTGCACCACCACACCCGGTGGAGAATCTGTCTCTAAATACAAGGTATAGGGCTAGGGATATAACCCAGCGACACAAGCACCTGCCTGGTAAGTGTGAGGTCCTGAGTTCAATTCCCAGTACTGCCCCCCCAAATCCTTAAATACAAAGTGTGGTGGCACACTCAGCATTCGGGAGGCTGATGCAGCAGGATTGTTGCGAGTGTGAGACCAGCCTGGGCTACAAAGTGAGCTCAAGGCCAGCCTGAACTGCGTAGCGAGATCCTGTCTCAAAAAGACAGACAGATAAACAGATGGATGGATGGATAGATAAAGAGTTGGGGTGTAGCTCAGTGTGATGACCCTGGTTCAATCCCCACTATGACCGAAAAACAAGAAACAAAATAAAAGCTGCAGCCTAGACAAAGCTCTCAGTCACAAGCACCAGCACTACAGGCTGCCCCGCTACCCTACTGCCCCACGGCATTCCCTGAAAGATCCACCCCAACACACACTCCAGTCTTCCACTGCTTCCGGATGCGTCCCCTCCGGTTCCCAAGCCAAAGCTGAAGGACCTGCTTTACAAACCCACGGCGCCCTCAGCATGTGTGAGGCCCCGGGCTCCATTCCTGGCACCAAAACCACAAGGAACTGCAAACCAACTGCTCCGGCTAGCCCCACACCCTGCCCCGGCCCCAAGGAGCCCTGTGAGTGGCCAGGGCAAGACCAGGAGGCGAGGGGAAGCAGTGCAGGAAGCATGGGCACCAAAGCCCTGGCTGGTGGTGATCACGGTGTCTGCTGGGAGCACAGGGGCAGCACAGCCACGAGCGTGTGCTCACATGGGGAAGGGGCTTCAGGGTGAGGCACACCTCTGCAGGCCTGGTTAGGGGTCCAGACGCCCCTGACTTAACCCACAACTCAAGGTCACTCGCCATGCAGGGAGAGGCTAGGGACGAGGGCTGGTGCTGGAGGCCACAGAGCAGGGGCAGCTGAGACCAGGAGGCAGACAGTGTCCTTCCCCAGCCCTGTGCTTGGATCCTGGGAACCTGGCTCACAGCTCAGGATCAGGGCACAGGAGACAGGGGACACGCAGGCCACTCCCCAGGGCTACATGCCTGGGAGAGGCAGAACCACAGGCAGCAGAACCTGGCAGGGGAGACGCCCAGATGTTATGCACTCCCTACAGGTACTCAAGTGTCTGCCAGAGTCGTACGTCAGCTCTGGCCCCGAGAAGAACCAAGGCACAGTGGCCCCTCCAGGCCCCTGGCTCCCGTGACACTGCTGCCCCTTCCAGTGGCCCCTGAGCTGGTATCAGGACCTTGTTGTCAGCACAGTGGCCATGGGCAGCACTGGCTCATGTGGACACGGATGTGGCCCTCTCAGCCATCAGTGTCCACCAGTGACATGGCACCTGGCCTGAGACACTCCATGTGTGAGTGACAAGCTTGTCAATGGACCTTCATGGCAGGGACATCACAGCTGAAGGGACAGGGTGGAGGTCTCTCCGGGGCGAGGACTACTGGGCCGTAGTGTAAATGAAGGTGCACTCCTGAGTGATTTCACAGAGGCCAGGACGGTGATGACAAAGGAACCCGGGCCCAGGTCTGACGAGTGCCGCAGCTGAGAGCAGCTATGGACACACCCATCCCCCTCCACTGTGGCTTCAACGGCCAACCCAGAGCTGCCCACCCACTCGTCCACACTATGTTCGCGGCTTCCCCTCGCCAAGCAGGGAAGCAGCCCATCCCTGTCAAGGGCAGCCAGGCCATGGGGGCAGGCACAGCCCTTGCCTGCACAGCATCTCAGAACCCTCCCGTCACCCCGTGCGTCAGCACGCATGGTGGAGCGGGCTGCAGAGCAGGAAGCATTTGTGCAAAGCTGCTGCTGAAAAATTTAATCTCTAAGAAGTCACAGCAGAGATGAGGCGGTTGGTACTGGTGCTCAGCGTATGACTTCCTGGAGCTGGCTGTGCCCCACTGTCACCCACATCCCTGGGGTCGTACTTTTCCACGGTGTCCTGGGAAATGGAGCCCCGCTGCCCCGTGCTGCACTCAAGGCCAGCTGGGATAACACGTCTGTCATCCCAGGCAGCCAGGAGGCCGAAGCAGGACTGTGAGTGTGAGGCCAGCCTGCACAACTTAGTGAGATTCCGCCTCAAAATAAAAAGGGTTGGGGATACAGTTCCGTGTGGGACCCTGGGTTCCCAGAAGGAGGAGAAGGAGAAGAGGAAGAAGAGAAAGAGAAAGAGGAAGAAGAAAACCAGTGGTGACAGCCTGGGCCATCACTTCAAGAGAAGCACAAAGAACCAAGACAGCCTCGCTGCTTCAAGCAGAGGCGTTCGCCGCGGCGCAGGAGGTGCTTAGGCTCTCGCTAGTAACAGCCACAGATGGGCCGCTGTGACAAGCACTTGGCAAAGTCAGCAAAACCTTCAGTGGGAACCAGCAGCGCGGCGCGGCATCCAGGGAACACCCAGCATGCAGTCGAAACCGCAAGCCTCAAAATTCGCACGAACAGTCACTTTTACGTCTTGTCTCTGGAGTCACCTGTCCTGGGTGTTTCCGGTCCGTGGGGCCTACACTGTGCGTCCTCTGTGTCTGGCGCCTCTCACTGAGCACGGCATCCTCAAGGTCCATCCACACTGTTGCGAGGGTCTCGGCCGAGGGACATCCAGGCAGGGAGAGGACCCTGCGATGTGTCCCTGCGTGGGCCCCGGGCTGTTCCCACCTCCTGGCTATGAGCACCGTGTGCGCATCACTTCTCCCGGGTCCCCACCTGGGCGGGGGGGGGGGGCAGGTCCCTCTCAGGAGCCATCATCTGGCTCTCCATAGCAGCTCACCACTTCAGTCCCCATCTGTGGTCCCCGTTTTGGTCACAGCGCCCTGGCAGGCGGAAAGGGCACCGCACCAAGTTCTGATTTGCTTCTCCCTCACCACTCCTGTGTACCGAGGCCCGGCATTCTCTGCGGGGCTGGACGTGGGAGGCGGCCAACAGCTCTGCTGCAGATGAGTGACCACACCGGGTAAATGACAATGATCCCGGGTCACCCTCGTTACTGCTTGATTGCTGTCTGCTTCCCAGCTCAGTTTCCTCACGCTAAGTGAAGGGAAGCCAGGGCGGTCAGCCCAGTTTCCCCAAACCATCCGGGCTGGCATGACGGGCGTCTCTCCATGCACAGCAGCGTCCCCTGGAGAGCACCGGCAGGCGTGAGCCGCCTTTGTGCCGCAAGGACACCCTCTCTATGGAGGTAGGCGACTGGTTTCCGGTAGCACCTCCAGGCCTCCTGTCACTGCTGAGTGGGATCTCAGGAAGACCCCACAGCCCTGCTGACCCCGAGGAAATGCCCTGCTCAGCACCCACCCAGGGGACCTGCTGCCTCCGCTCACGAAACCTACTCAGGCTGCCACAAGGGGCTGTTACTGTCAGTCAGGAAGTGGCATCCCTCTGCCTGCCCTTCTGCTGTGAGTGCCCTGCTGACAGCAGAGGAGTGGAGGTAGAAGGGACAAGGGTGGCTGGTGCTGTGAGGGGACTCCGTACGGGCAGGAGGCAGCTCAGAACCAAGGCCACCAGTGATGCCTGGCACAGGGCCGGAAACTGAAGCCAGGTGACCACAAAGCTGTGCCCTCTGCTCTGCTCTTCTCTCCCAGGGTCAGGAAGTCCACCCACCCTGACATACCTGGCCATACCGGTCACACCACACAGGCACATCCTTCCTTGGCAAACCGGGACAGGGTCACCCAAGGGACATGTCTGCTCCACTGATGACACATAGGGTGTCTGATTTCTCTTTTTTTTTTGTCTTTTTGAGACAAGGTCTCGCTATACAGTTCAGGCTGGCCTTGAGCTCACTTTGTAGTCCAGGCTGGTCTCGAACTCACAACGATCCTCCTGCCTCAGCCTCCCAAGTGCTGGAATTACAGGCATGAGCCACCACACCTGGCTGTCTTACTGTTTATCTTAAAATGGACCAATAAAATCTCATTAAAAAAAGAAAAATAATTAAAGTAAAACTGTTCTAATAAATAAATCTGTAGCCTAAATGAAAGTAGCCTGCAGAACCTGAGACTTCCCGGCTCTCTCCTCCTCTTGGCAGGTAGCTCTACAGTCCCGAGTGCTGTTCAGCCACTGTCCCCTGCCACCAGTGAGTGGGAGGCCACCCACGCCTGAGAGCATGTGGCTGTGGGTCCCACTGTGTCCCATCCCTTCTGGCACTGCTGCTGACCTCCTGCTCACTGGTAACCTGCAGCCCTCCCAAGCCACACCAGATCTGCCGTCATTGAGGGCAATGCACCAAAACTCAGCTCTGAGCAACAGGGGCCAAGGCTGCAGGAAAATGCGGCAGTCTTCAGGACCAGCCCTCCTCAGAGCCGCCCACGCTGGGAAAAACCAGGGCGCTGCTCACCCACTGGCTGGGGACACGAGGGCGGGATGTGATGGTGGCCAGGGCTGCAGCCTGTATGACCCACTCCCGCCATATCCTGGAGACCACTGTTCTAGCCAGTGGCACGGGTCCGCCAAAGGAACTCCTGGGGTAACTGGGTCATTTGTCTTGTGAAGGGGTCATGGAAGTGGACCTAGGGTCAATTCTACTTTAAAGTAAAATATCTCAGCACTTTCCCCCCACCATGGTTGGAGATGAAACCCAGGGACTGCTGAAATGTATCCCTAGCTTTTCTTTCTCTCTTTTTCTCTTCTTCTTTCCTTTTTTCCTTTCTTGTTTGAGACAGGTCTCATTATTTAGTACAGGCTGGCCTTGAACTCATTATATACTCCAAGCTGGCCATGAACTTACTGTGATCCTCCTGCCTCAGCCTCCTGACTTTCAGGATTACAGATGTGTGCCACCACGCCTGGCTCCTTTCTTTAGACACAGTCTTTTTTTGCTCAGGCTTGGCCTCAGACTTGCTATCCTCCTACCTCCGGCTCCAGAGTAGCTGGGATTACAGGCCCATGCCCACCATATCCAGCTGCACACACTCTTTAAAAGATCAACACTCCATTCCCTTGAAGTCCTCACACAGGAGAGGGTGACAGCCAGGCAGCCCCTCCCAGAGCACCGTGTGAGGAGGTAAAGGCACAGCTGGGAGTGCCCGTGGTGCGGGCTCTAGCACCGTGCTGGCAAGCACCACCTGCATCCCAAATCCACGCAAGTGGGGTGTCTGCCCTGGTGTCCAAGGCAAGGCTGGGGCTGGCACAGAAGTCAGGGGGCTAAGCTGCTTCCACACCTCACTGTAGCTCCAGCTTCCGGCCCTGGTTCCACTGCGTCTTCCCAAAGCTCACAGCCTGTGTTCTCTTGAAGCCAGCTCTCCACCCACCGGGGGAGGGGACCCCCAAGCTTCACACCCTCCACCAAGGCCTGAGACAAGGTACTGAAAATAAGACCTAACTGGAAAATGAGTCCTCGAGTGATTTTTCAGGATACTCATAACATAAGCCTTACCCCCAAATAATCCCCAGCTAAGACTGTCAGCCAGACAGGCGCAGTTAGTATGTCCACTGCAATATGTGACAGGCACACTGAATTATAACATAGTATCAATACAACTAAATGTAAGTACATAATACTGACATTAATACTAAGTCATAATGTAAGTTATAATTAAGTATTTGTAAATATCCAACCTGGCACATTTGGACAAGAGGTAAATGCCTGTGTAAACAGAAGAACTCGAGATTTATTGCTGAATGACAAGAGTACAGACACAACACACGAGCAACGCGCACACTTGCTAGCGAATGGACCTGGCTGTGTCTGATGTGACTCTTCATGATCTGGTACATCGTGTGCTGTAAGGACACATGACAAGTAGGCTGTATGGATGAGAAGCGCTCACTTAAGAAGAGCTCTTGCTGGACATGAGAGACTGGAGCCAATGGTTCTATAAGAAATGGAGTTGCAAGGAATTCAGGCCAGAATTCGGGGTTTAGAGAGTTATTTGATGTTTGGAAGGTGACATGACTGTATTTGAATAAATGCTGATTTTTGTACATGAAAAAAGGTAGACTGTTACATGGGAGAGGGGAGACATCCCCTGAAAATAAGCCCTACCGTGTATTTGGGGCCAAAAAGTTAATATATGACCTGGTCTTATTTAGCCAAAGTGAGCCTCCTCTGGCCAGGCACAGTAGCGCACACCTATAATTCCAACACTCAGGAGGCTGAGGCAGGAGGATTCCCCTGAGTTTGAGGCCTGCCTGGGATCATAGTGAGTTCAAGGCCAGCCTGAACTATGTAAGAGACTCCGTCTCAATACCCACCACAAGAGGTAAAAGTAGGAGGACTGCCACAAGTTCAAGAGCAGCCTATATTACAAAACCAGACCTTGTCTCAAAAAACCAAAATACAAACAAGCAGGCAAACCAACCACAAAGCATCCCTCAGCCTGCCCATGGGGCACAACCGGCAGTCCTCCCTGTGGTCCACACACCCAGCCCCCTGGGCAGCAGGCTCCACATGGTGACCCGGGGCTTAAACAGGGCCTGAGCAGGTGCAGCTACCTTCAGAGGTGCCAAGTGGCCAAGCAGGGCTGCTCAGGTGAACGTGTGCTGCTCTTCCTAAGGCAGAGGCACAGAAAGGTCACCCTCCAGGCTGGGCTCTTGGCCTCCAGCCCTCTCTGGCCCACTCCCTCCAGGCCTGTGGAATTCACCAGGGGGCGTCCACTGTTCAATTCTGTTTCCGCACCCCCTACTCCCCGCCTTGCCCACTGGCCACCAAGGCTGATGCTGGCGTCCATAGTGGACACCAGGGGCCCGAGCTGGTCAGAGTCAGCAGCCTCCAGTATCTTCCCCTGGCTCCCTTGGCCCCTGCCTGTAACATCCTAACCCAGGGCCTACAGGGCAGCTTGGCCAACTTGCAAATCTGACTGCGATGGAGGCTGAACTCCTGGACCACACCAGCACCTCAGTGGCAGCAGATCTGGCACGTGCTGGGCTATAACACACCAGTACCCGGGCTGTCCCTTTCTGGCCTCCAGTGAAAGACCCCACATCCAACACATGCTCACAGGGAGGCTGTGGCCATGACGACCAGCACCCATGGGGGCTAGAGGGCCAGAGACAGGCAAGGAAGAACCGGGCTCTGGAGTGCCTGGGGAGGGCAGCCAGGCACATCCCTGCTGTGCCCAGCTGCTGTCCCTGCACGGTCCTTCAGCCCACACGTCCCTTGGTGTTCACTGCCCACGCTCCAAGCCCCACAGAACCCACAGGCCATGAATTCGGGGTTTGCAGAGAGGCCCATCTGCCCCTGGCAACAGGCAGCAGTCAGAGGACGGGAACCACCTGGAGACTGTGGTTTGGCCCCGAGGAAGCCACGGCACCCCGGCACCTGGTTGTGTACCCCCATGCACAGGAGCCACCAGCCCCACACTCCAGCTTCCGAAGGGGCTGGTCGCAGCCCAGACAGGACAGTTAGCCACGAAGCACTGTGACCAGTGACACAGAGGACTGTGTCCCCAGCAGGGCTGTCCAAGTGAGCCAGAGCCAGTGGTATGGGGACAATCGCAGGAGAGGGACAGAGTGGAGACCAGAGCTCAGTATGTGTACCCTCGGCTGCCGCTGACACTCAGGCCTGGTGAATGGGTTCCAGCCATAGCTGGACAGGACATGGTCACCCTGGCACCCCGGGGTGGCAGAAATGCCAAGATGAGTCCTGGTCAGCTCCCACCTGGTCTGGACAGAAGATGGCCCCTCACCCTAACCCCAATCCTGCAGTGCTCACTGCCCAGCCAGCTGGCCGGTCACTGGGCTCAAACGGGAAGTCACCTCACAACAGCCCAGGGTGCACTCCCTTCTCTGGAGACCACTCAGCTGTATTACCTGCCCTGCTCTCCCTGGCATCCTCCATCTTGCTAGGGTCCTGGCTGGCTCCCCTGCTAAAGGCCTAGTGAGTCCCCTTCTTTCCACTCAATGATGTCACAGTCCCTGGCTGACATCACCAGCACAGCCCAGAGCTGGTACCAGTATGAAGGGACTGACCCCTCTTCTCCCTCCCCACTCAATAGTCTGGACGTCACTGCAGCAGCATCTGAAAACCTCAGCAGGGCAGGTGACCGTGAGACACAGTTCTGTGGGGTCAGTGAAATCCCTCAATCCAGGGACTTTCCCCTGGGGTGATGCTGCCCCTTGGGGACATTGAGTGATGGATGTTTCAGGACATAAGGCTGTCATGACTGGGGGAGCTCCTGGCAAGGACCAGGTGGAGGCCAGGAACACTGCCTAGCACCCCGAGACAGGGCGGCCCCCACAGAGAACGACCCAGCCTCAGTGTTCACAGAGCTGGGCAGACCGCAGCTATAGAGTCACGGTCCCAACTCATGCAAGTGGCTTGAGACGTCCCACAGACACAGTAGGGAAGGCAGGGAGGCACGTTATTGTAAGCAGAAACACACAGAGGGGTGCAGATGGATACACAGCAGGTAACAAAGTGCCAAGGGAGACAAGGGAAACAGCTGGTAATCGAGGGCCACAGGCATGGCGAATTTTATTTTCTTTCCGCTATATTTTTCGCTATTTTTTGTATTTCCTGAAACACCCACGAAGATCATGAGCTCCTCCTCTCTCCGCAGAATCTGTACTGAAAGCTGCTTTTGTGGTGATGAGGGTGGCCAGGACACACCTCCTGGACCAGCCAGCCACAGGTGGGGGCTTCCTGTGCCTCTGGTGGGAGTCAGTCAGCCAGGTGCGGCCAGACAAGCCCCAGCAGGCCTGGGCTACTCCCTGACACAGGCCCATCCTGGGGGAGGAGGACCCCAGAGGGAGGAGAAGGGGTGGGTCTGCTAATCCTTCCGGAACTGTAACCGTGGTGAACAACCACAAAGTGCTTTGGTGGGCTGATTTAACATTAACTTTCCTCTTTCTGCTGCTGGAGACTGAACCTAGGGCCTCCTGCTCTACCATAGCCTGTGCCCCCAGGCCCACGTTACTTTCAATAACAGTACAGGTAAAGATATAAAAATTAACCGTACACAGATTCTCTTTACAAAAGGCAAAATGAATGTGGAAGTTAATTGTGAGGGAGCACCCACCCCAGCAGGTACCCCAAAAGCCTAGAGCACGGAGGCAGCTGTGCCCAGGGCCAGGGCTGACCTCACCGGGGCTCTTATAGGCCAGATCCAAATGCCTGGCCTGTCTGGGCGAAGAGGTGGGGTGACATGTGGACAACGAACACAGCTGCTTCAGTGAGCGGCATGGGGCACAAGGCAGGGCCCCACAGGCCAGAGGCGTCCGAGCACTCGCCTCCTCGCCAGGCATCACTGAAGCCACGTGGCGGAGAGGAAACAATGTTCAACAGCTCTGACAATGGCGACGGCCCATACAGATTTCAGAGGAACGCAGGGTGCGCACCCACAGGAAGCACAAGACACCAAAGGCAGCAAGGCGCAGCAGATGAGGGCAGGCTGCGGCAGCCTGAGCCCAGCCACCTGCCTGCCCCACGGAAGCAGCCCAGGATGTGGCCCCGGGCGCACAGCTCCTCTCACAGCCACCCACCCTCCCCTCAAAGGCTGCAGACCCTTGGGGGCAGCAGAGCACACGCTCACCCCCACCCGGCACAGACACGCGGCCCCTCACACTCTCAGGTCCGCTCCCAGAAGCAGTGGGTGGGGGACAGGACCAGCACCTGGCTCAGGAGCACCCAGCGCTTCCACACGGACTAATCACAAGACTTCTCTGCCTCGGCTTCCTCACACCTGGATGGCTACATGAACTTGCAAAAACTAAAACTGGAGGAGCCTGCTGCCACTCCGCACACAGAGGGAGTGCCTCACTCAGGGGTGACGTCCATGCCCCCACGGCCATGGCGCCAAGCTGGCCAGTCAGCCACCCCAGGTCCTGGCCAGCACCCATCTCAGGTCACCGAAGGACTCAAAATGCACAACCAGTAAAGCGAAGGGGCACTTGTATCCCCAGAGTCACTTGTGTCCCTAGAACTTGGACAGGTGCATTCCCCCACATGCACCCCTCAGCTCAAGTCCTACAGAGAAGCCCATTTGACTGTATGCTGGCCACCCTCGCCCCAAGACCCCAAGATCAGCATGGTCAGTAGGGAGTTGGGGACTGCACGGCAGGGCGATTATCAGACAAGAAGGGGCGTGGTCACTCTGGGTCACACTAGCATCCTGGGGTCACCTCAGAAACAAGGTGGAAGAAAGGCAGACACTCCAGACTACATTTTCACCTGATCTCAAAGTCAGGAGTCCTGCCCCCAGGACCAAGGCAGGTGTAGCATGGCTGTGTCTTGGGGAACAGGCAGTTGTGTAACTTAGGGGTCCTTTAACATGTTTCATCTTGAACCACCAGTGGCACAAGCATGACTGTCCCACTGGGCAGCTGGGACTACTGGTGGTACAAATGGGTCTAATCACTGTTACTGGTCTTCTTACTAATAAAATTAATGAAAAGTCTCTGAATGGGCCAAATCTAGTTAGTTGCTTGAATGTGAACAATTATTGCCCAAATATAAATATTAATACTATCATACCAATTAAAAATTATAATAGGGGTCGGGCATGGTGGCACATACCTGTAATCCCAGCACTCGGGAAGCTGAGACAGGAGGATTGTTGTGAGTTCAAGACCGACCAGCCTGGGCTACAAAGTGAGCTCATGAACTACACAGCAAGACCCTATCTCAAAAAGACCAAAAAAAAAAAATTATATATATATATATATATATATATATACACATATATATATAATCAACAGATATATTTATTTCAGTTTTAAAAATTTACATATATTCCTGAATAGTTCATCAGTGATTCTCTAAATTTTACATGGAATTCTTACAAGTACACCATCACCAGTGTATATAATATGCTTTTACAACTGTTGTACCACATATCAGCCGTATTACTTTTCTTTATACCAATTTAATGTTTTCCTTAAGGAACTGTAATACAATGACATCTGGTCTGCTAAACCAACTTCTTTGCATTACTGTAATCAAAGATCCCGGAGAAGCAGAGCAAGCCGCCCAATGGGACAGTCATGCATGTACCAGTGGTGATTCAAGCCAGCTGACCGAACCAATTCAAATCACAGCTGCTAGGCAGCGAGACATACGAATTACAGCCCCATTGTGAACAAGTTAAGCACAACTCTTTTTAAGCCTCCACGTATCAAGGTAAACTTACAAACTACAATAAATCATTCTCAATCCAAGTACAGTGGCACACACTTGTAGTCCCAGCACTGTGGGAGGCTGAGGCAGGAGAATTGCAAGCTTGAGCTAAGCCTGGTAAACTTAGCAAGACCCTGTCTCAAAATAAAAAATTAAAAGAGCTAGAGATTCGATCTCAGTGCAAAGGCCCCTGGCTTCAAGCCACAGTATCGCCAAAAAGAAAATCATCTTCTGTATCTATTTCTGCCTTTTAGACAGCTGGACAGCCCAGGGACCTCCTTTGATCCCATCCTTAGATGTCTCCACAACCTATGGTGACCTGTGGTCCTCATACTTGTCCTTAAACCAATGGGCCCAGAGAAGCAGAGGCTAAGCTCTCCAAGAGTGGGACCTGGGGACTCCTGCTCTTACAGCTCTGGCAGTTCTCAGTTCCAGGAGGGGTTAGGTGGTCATCACACCTCTCAGGGTCAGGCACAGCTCAACCAGCGACCTCTCATCTTCCTCCCTCCACCTGGGACGTCCTGGGCTGCTTCTGCCACCTCATCCAGAGGGAGGTGTCCCTGGGGTCACTGGTCAGCCAGTACCCTCTGCTCCTCCCCACACCAGAGTCCACCTCTGGCCCTTGCTGGGCACTCCCGTCTCTTCTCCAACACACCCCTGAACTTGAGTCGATGACCTCAAAGGGCAGGCAACATCGCAGAGCTGGACTATGGTACACATGGGAAAGAGCTTGGAAGAATCCGACTGTTACTTAACAGGATGTGACCTCAAACTGTCTCTGGTTCCTGGTGCTCACCCATCCTGAGAGGTGCAGGCTTGGGGAAGCGGGGGAAGGCGTTGAAGAGCTCACAGGACAGGATGGTCCAGGGAAGCCAGGCAAAAGAGAATTGCAAGCTTGAGCTCAGCCTGGTAAACTTAGCAAGACCCTGTCTCAAAATAAAAAATTAAAAGAGCTAGGGATTGGACCTCAGCGCAAAGGCACTGAGATGTCATTGTATTAACAGTTCCTCAAGGAAAACATTAAATTGGTATGAAGAATAGTCGTATGGCTGATTTGTGGTACAAATGCAGCCCTTAGGTAGGGCTGCATCTTGTCTTGGGCCCAAGGTGCAGCTTACTCCCATGTGCAAAGGGGGACTCAGCTGTCCAAGCAAGAAAGATGGGCCACTCCTACACCTGCCTATGAGCCCCTTGGAAGGAAATCCACAGCCAGAATGTGGCCCAGGGGCCCTACGTGAGTGACTACAGTGGGAGAGGGAGGGCGTGGTGGGGTGGTGGGAGGGAGACTTCAGGAAAAAGAGAGGTTCCCTTCTGGGCCTGCGCAACGAGTACCCTCAGCAGGTTCTGGGGCTCTACAGACACCCAGGGCTCACACAGGACCCCTGAAGGCAGTAGCAGGAGTGGACCTTGGCAAGAGAAAAAGGTGCTGGATGATACCTACATTTTCCAGAACCCTGGCGCGATCCTGTCAGGGCCAGCCATGGATGTGGGGCAGTGAGGGCCTGTCTGACAGAGGTGGGCTCCCAGCTCAGGTCTGACTGCTTTCCCACCTATGATGTTCCATGCCCTCCTTCTGCCCAAGATGCAGGAGCATGGACTGGGGGGGTGGGGGGGTGAAGAGGGAAGGTGGGTGGTAAGAGCCACTGCAGAGAAAGGAGCTCAGCAGTTACTGGCACCAGGATGATCCACACACGTGAGCAGCTGGTTCTTGCCACCTGGAGCCCCAGGGGTCACCCAAATACTCCAGGTGCACTTTTCCACACTCCAGGTGCCGGAGAAGACCTAGGTCC